GTTTCAGCACAGGTTCAGCAGCTGTTTCAGCACAGGTTCAGCAGCTGGTGGAGTAGATTTCATTTTGCCTCCAGCTGCTGCAGAGTCTTTGTGGACCTGATGAGAACGTTGAGCTAACGTTGCTGCTGGTTTTGTAAATGTTGAGCTGATGAAACATTTCACATCCTGCTCTTCTGTGCTGGTCCTGACGGGTCGGTCCTCACCGGACCAGAACCATCTAGAGTTTCACGTTCCAGAGGAGGACGTCCTGAAGTCGTTCTTCCCGACACTCGGGTCCAACATTCCTGCAGGACATGAACGGGTTCAGACAGGTGAGCTGCTGCTCGACAGGTAACGGATCAGGATCAGTCGGACTGAAGAAGCAGGAATCTGTTTCAGTCTGAAACTAAAAGCTGTTGACTCAAAATATGAGACGTGCTGAAACTAATTATTGTTAATGAGCAACTCAAGTTTAATATTAATTTCATTATAGATCATTTAAAACTAAATTATTATAAACCAAAGTGTTTTATAATGAAGGAAGCAAAGTATAAAACATGTTTCACTACAAGACACAGATTAAATCAGTCCAAACAAATAAAACGTCTGGTTCCATTCGAACCAGAACCGAGTGGCTGAGGTTCTGGTCGGTACGTTGGGCCACGGAGTGGAACTGGACCTGCAAACATCTGAACACCTCAGCTTTGTTCTAAGACCATCAGCTTCCTGGACCTGACTGGTCCAGTTGGAGTCCAGTGGTTTGAAAACCCTTCAAATAAACCAAGACCAGTCTGCGTAGAGCTCCAAAAACTGTTAGTCCACCCTGACCCAAACAGGAACTCTGGAGTCCTGGTCAGGTCTACTGTTAACGGTCTGCCGCAAGCGATGAAGGTCCAAACCTACAGTCTAAGAGCTGCACTCGTCCACATGAGAAGAAACCTTGACAGACTCCAGGAGACGGATCAGGCTTTGACCCGGCTAAAAGTCTCAAGTGAAACGTGATCTGATGTTTGACGGGTTTAAAATGTTCTGACTCCATAACTAAACCAAAGACTCGAGAGTTTCACGTCAGATTCTACCAACAGATCGAAACATCATCCGCATAACGAGAAACTAAAAGGATGGATCCCAAAGCCAACATGTGAGAACAGGACTGGGCCCAGACTGGATCCCTGAGGAACTGTGCATGTAGTAATTGTTCAGTCCATCAGATATGATCTATTCTGGACCAGCACCAAATCCTGCGTCCTGGTTCAAAGTCCACGTCAAACCATAAAAGAATGTTTGTAAAAATAAGGAACAGCTGATTCAGAAGCTTTAGAAGCCGACTGAAATATATCAGAAATCTTTTTTGATCCAGAAGTTTCAAGCTAAAAAAAAGGAGCCATGTTATTTGAAATGATAAATAAAAATATAACAAGAAAATTGATTTAAATTTAAAAAGACCTAAACTTTCCCTTTGAAGGAGGAGCTGCAGTTTGAGCAGAATGCACAGAAGAACGGTCCAACTTGACTAAAACCTGTTCATCGTACAGAGAGCTGGGGTCAGAACGACCAAAGGTCCAGTTCAGCAGAAACACGAGACAAGCACATTCACTGTTGTTTGTTTGTTTGTTTGTTTGTTTGTTTGTTTGTTTTTGGCCGACGTCTGCGTGTGGAAGCAACAAACCTGCAGATCACAGCATGAGGGCTGATCCTGCAGGATTCTGTGGATTAGATTTTATTCTCCAACATGCAGATGAGTCCATGAAGAAAGCGGTTTCAGTTTGTTCGTTGATGAAGCTCTGTCTTGACATCAACAGTTCATGGAAGTCCTGCAGGAGACGGATGGTGCTGTGGTGAGGGCTGGTCTCCCTCTGCTGGACAGAGCTGTCTCTGCTGCAACTGGAACCAGGAAAACTTCTCCAGGTCCCAGTTCAATATGAGCTCATTACTCATGGCGTCTTTGACGTCTGAAAAGTTGTGCAGTTCAAACTAAAGCTCAGATCTTCATCCTGGTCCAGCTGCAGGCAGAGCGGTGAGACAGTCCCGTCTTCAGGGTGTCCAGCTGTAGATGTCCTGAAGGCATCACTCCCAGCTGCACCTGGTCATCCTGATGTGGACCAGAGCTGGGCTCACGTTCAGCTCACCTGGGACTCGTCTCTGTGGAAGTCCTCCGTGTGTCTCCTCACCTTAACCTTTGGCTAACGAGGACTTGGATCTCCATTCCTGATTCAAACCGTCCACATGTAAGAATGTGGGCCTGGCCAACAGACTGTTTTCAAAACTTTGAGTTCCACATCTGGCTCCCATTTGTGGCTCAGATGTGTCTGAACCGTTTCTTCTCCCACGGTTCTGATGTTTGGATCATGTGACCAACACCGAGCTGTCAGCTCCACTAGTCCGATGAGTTCTGATGTCTCTTGTTAGCTGAGGAGGTCCATCAGAGTTCTGGTTCTGATGGAGTCACAGGAAGTTCTGCAGGCAGCTCCTGGTTTATGGAAAACATAAATGGTCCATAAGACCACGTCAGGACTTCATGAAAAATCAAAACTGTTCTGATTCTGGTTTGATGAATTCTACAACCCATCATTCATCCTTCCAAACCGACATCCAACCATCCATCATTCATCCAACCATTCATCATCCATCCATCTATAATCCATCCAATCATGCTTCCAACATCCATGATCCATCCATCCAACTATCATCCATCCAACTATCATCCAACCATCCATCCAACCATTCATCATCCATGATCCATCCATCCAACTATCATCCAACCATCCATCATCCATCCAACCATTCATCATCCATCCATCCATCCAACCATCCATCCATCATACAACTATCCACCATCCAAGCATCCATCCGTCCAACCACCATCCATCCGTCCAGGTGAAGGTGAAGCCTTGATTTGTTGATTCTTCTCCATCCTACCGTTCAGGAACAAGACTCAGATTTTTGAACGTCCAGTTCCAACGTGTTCATGTACGCGGTCAGAAAAATGAGTGGAACAATAATGATGGAAAAAACATCTGAAACCTCCGAGAACTTTAATCTAAAACCAGTTTCAAATTTAAAGTTTGGCTCTATGGAAAAAAAATGTTAAACAAATTGTGGGTTTGGGTAAAGACTTATTGACCTCAGCTGGCAGAAAAAAAAAACTAAATACACGACACTTGATTTTATTGTCATGTTTATTGAGATTTAAACAAAGTGACAATATTTGATTTCTTATCAAATGTTTCTTGATGGAGTATTCTGTTGGATTAGCCGTCAGATCAAACCGTGTTTCAACATGAAAAATAAAAACCAAACATCCTCGCCATCACAAACAGCTGAAATCCCTCCTAGGACCTGCTAAGAGTGTGTGTGTGTGCGTGCGTGTGCGTGTGCGTGTGTGTGTGTGTGTGTGTTATATTGTCAGGTCTTTGGGGTTAACCACTTTGCCGATGAACAGCAGCGCCCCCGACGGTTCGTCCCGGATCAGGTAGATGAAGGGCTGGTCCACTCGGTACGCAAGGTGGGCGGGTGTCGGGATGGCGCCGGGGTACTGGTTACCCTCGGGGGCGGTCTCCATAACAACCTTGTGGTTGACGCTGCTGAGTTTGGCGGGCTGATTCGAGATATTCTCCAGTTCTGGGTTCTCCAGCCACTCAGCTAGACCTGTAGAGAGGAAGAGGATGATGATGAAGGTAATCCTGCTGGAATGGCTCCATCACCTCCACCTCCCCAACCATCCCAGCAAGACTCGGGACACGTAGAAAAGACTAAATGAAAGGGTGTGTCTCATTATTTCAACAGAGCTGGGCTGCCGTGGTTTTCAGAATGGAATGGGGAGTGAGCTATGATGCATTTGAGGGAGCTGGGAAAAGGCAGACTCCCAGTGAATTACATGCTGACAGCTAAAACAGCCCTTTACACTCGATGTACACATTTAGTAAAAATGTAGCACAAACACAAAGTTTCCCTCAGCCTTCAGCTGAACGATGCGTACGGTTTGATCCTCGAATGTTTTAAGTTGACTCGGACTCACCGAGGTCACCGAGCAGCGGCAGTAAGTCTGTGGAGTAGCTGAGCCTCAGGACAGGAAGCGTCAGGGTCACCTGGGCCGGTTGGAGCGCCATGGACAGGTCCTGGACAAACTCGGCGGTCAGACTCTCCTCCAGCAGAGTGGTGTTGGTCGTCACCTCGTCAGGCAGGAAGACGAACATGCTGATGTCGTTCTGCATCTGGATCTGAGCGATCTGCAGGACGAGAAACAGCGTTTGTAATGTCTCTGTGAAGGAAACGCCGGTGCCTTGTTGGTCACAACGCCCACCGTGCAGTGTAGGTCTGAGTCAACCCCCATCTTCACTGGGTAGTTGTCCTGTTGCATCATGGGAACCTGGACTGGTAGCCCTCCATCCACCTGGAAGTTCTGTAGAGCTCCGCTCTGACTGAAGCGAGTCACCCACTTCCCTGCTCAAAGACAGCCGGTGTTCAGTCCTGTAACCGCAGGTCTCACCTTTCAGACTTAAACTCTTCACAAGAAAATGTGAATTTATTCTTCTCCACCTTCATGTGAAACACCAGATACTGAACCTGTCACAGGTGTTTTACAGAAACTTTAGACAGTTCAGTGGTTACACAGCTCAACGTGTTGGTGTTATGATCAGAGGGATTGTTCGTGTTTTTGGTTTCCTTGAGCGGGTCACTGGCCCTTTGTGGCGGTTCCTTCAAATCTGCCCTATCAACTTTGTTGGTACCCTACGTACCTACCATGGTGACCACGGGTAACAAAGAGTCTGTGGCTAGCAACAAATAATAATAAAAATGACCCTTGAGGGCCTGTAAATGAACTGAGTACATCAGGAGCATGCAGGAGAACTGGAGAACTAAGCATGCATCAGGAGAACTGAGTACACTTTAAATTCTTCAACAGGAACTCTTTGGCTAGAAGATCTGATGACAGCAGCGACGGTAATTCCAGCTCCAGTAGAGTTCAAGCTGCTGCAGTTAAAAAACTTGTTGGAAATCGAGATCGAGCTGACAGAATGTGGTAAAGATGAGTTGCTAACTGTACCAACCCCTGGTGCCCTTAGATGCTCCTAACCGAGTGTCCATCAAGGTCCGAAGGACTTACTTTGAAAAGGTTAGCGCTCAAAACAGACCTGGTTGTCTGAACAACGCAGCTAGGACAAACAAATTAGAGCACTGGTTTGATTTTGTGTGTTTTGCTCTGAACTGGGGCCGTGGTTACCAGAGACAGTCAGCGCCGTCTGTACGGTGCCACCAGAAGTGAAATTCTTGGACCAGTGCAAGACGGATTCAAGCAAAAGAAGTTGCCATGAATGTTTTCATGAACCAGTGAAAGTCGGAAGTTCAAATATGGTCAGATACCATCGTAGCCAGGGCGACACCGCTTCGCAGTGGTTAAAACTGTCGCCTCACAGCAGGAAGGTTGCAGGTTTACTTCCTGCCAGAGACCATTTTAAGTGCAGGTTATGTTCCCCCAAGCATGCAGGGATTTCCTCAGAGTACTCCGGTTCTCTCCCACAAACCAAAAACCTGCATGTTAGGTTCATGGTAAGTGAGAGTGAGAGAGTGAATGGTTGTCTGTCTGGCTTGTCTCTATGTGTCCCTGTGATGGACGGTAGACCTGTCCAGGTGTCCCTGTGATGGACGGTAGACCTGTCCAGGTGTCCCCACCTCTCACAGTGACTGCTGGAGACAGACCCCAGCTCCTTCTCACCCTGCCCTGAAATGTGGATAGCATAAGAGAAATGGAAGGTTTACTTCTTGTTTTGTTTTGGTTTACGGTTTATCTTCATGTTTGGCTAAAACAGGAAGTTCTTTTCGAGTATAATTTTACAACAAGGCATGTGTAACCCAGTCCAAAATAACTGTATTTTGTACTAATGTGTTTGTACTAATGTTTTGTTTTATTTTGAAGGGTTCATGTTTGGAAAAGGAGGTGGTGCCTAACAGTTTTACTGATCTGTCATTGGTTTATATTCAGGAAGTGGGCGGAGACAAGAGGTTATTGGAAAAATGAGTTTCAGCTGGACAGTGATGGGAAAACCCTTTGGTACGGTTTGTAAAAACAGATGTTTGCTGATGTTTTAGACGTTCAAATCGACAGTCTCTGAACAGATATCAACTCTACCTTGGGTTTTAGAACTACTGTAACTATTTCAACATGGAATTTGAAGTACAGTAGTCGTGAGTTTATGTCTCATAGCTCACTAAGACATTAGCGTTGATTAGCAAAGTGAAAGAACAGTGAGTACTGTGTGGCTAACAGGAAGAGACTTAAGTAAAGTTTCTGACATGGAAACTCCTGAAGTTCAGTACAAACAGATGAGCCTGAGCTGGAGCATCTTCACTGGACCTTTCTGCTTCCTGCTGTTTCTGGTGGACCGAGAGACGGGTGAAGGAGCTGAGGACACCCCCCACCGTCTTTCCTTCAACTGGGACTGACAGGTGACGTTCCAGAGGATCTAGACCTTGGAGTAAGGGACCACACTCCCTCCACTCTTCAGCATCACATCAGGCCTGCAACAAGGTTTTATTTAGTTTGAACTCATTTAACTAAATGCCGCCTTAGGTGCGTGTTAGAGGGTGGGCCCACTCGATTTGTGTAAACTTTAATAATCAGAAACTGAAAGACTTTATTATGGACTGAAAATATTTAGAATTACTGTGAATGTTTTTGTTTTTCGTTTGAATTTAATATAAGTTCTTAAATCTCAAAACTTTGGTCGTGTGTTGTTTATCTTTAAAAATAAATGTTCTGAGTTTAAGGGTTTTAATGAGCTCAGGGGCCCTTACCTAGTTTAGAGGGGTGTAGATCGGCTGCACATGTTCTGACTCCTGGAGTTACTAAACCTGGTTTCTGCAGGACTAGAACCAGTTCAACCTCAATAAACCTGATTTGTTAATTTCACATGGGTGAACAGACGGTACCTTTAAAGTAGGCGGCGCTCACGACGGTAACCCCGGAGGTACGGGGGAGGGGCTTGGTCAGAAACTGCTGGACCTTCCTTCCAGTCTGCTGAGACACCCAGTCATTGATTTCTTTCTGGTCTTTAGTTCCTCCCAGTAAGGCTTTAGGTCGAACTCCGTACTGCTGCTCCACCAGCTTGAAGAAGTCCTGCTTCAGACGAAGTCCTGCGAACCATTTGGTTGGTCAGCTCAGCGCTCACACATGTTTCAGAAGGTTTCTTAACAGGACCATACAGTCACACACTGATCATCTGGACCACAGGTTGCTCCTGTTTCCTATGAACATTCTTATTTTTTCTTTATTGATACAGTTCTCCCCTGAGAGGAACCTCCAGATGTTTCCAGCAGTCATGTTAAAGGTGTTTGAACTCACGGCGTGCCATGTAGAGGCGAGCGGCGGCGCTCAGACCTTTCCCTGAAGTCTTCACTGAAGCCAGCAGGTCCTTCAGGGTGTTGTGGAGCTGAGGGTCCTGCAGGGCGTGGTACCTTAGGGCTCGGTACAGCTGGCTCTGAGCATGTCCAGAGCCCCCTGCAGGACAGGAGGGGAAGTGTCGAGCAGGTTAGCTTGACTTTCAGTTAAACGTAAGACTTTTTAAGACCATCGACTCAAATTTAAAACATAAATCACAAAAAAGAATGTCATTGCAAAAACAATTATATATAATACTAATATTGAAATTTTACAATAATAAAAATATATATATATATTTACAGACTTTGTTTAACTACTGCTTCTGCACATTTTGTTTTTTTAGTTTATCTCTCAGTTCTTTTAGAAACATTGTTCAGTTTTAAATATTCTTCAAGAAACCAGATGGGTTTGTCTTATGCTACTTTTAGATTTGAGCTAGCCTTTTAGCATTTAGCTAATGTTATTCTCTTTTTAGCTTATACACTGCTCTCTTTAGCTTTAACAGATCTTCAGTCAATTCAAATCGTTTTTATAAATTACATCAAGCCTGGTTTAGGAGCCGAGCAGCTGGATTCTTCACACTTCGGCTGATTGTAAATGAACTCCTGATCGGACTGATGCATGATGGGACATTTAGTTTTGTGGCGTGCTGTAAAACATCTGAAATCTTCAAACAGAACTTCAGACACACAGAACCAACGACTGACAGCTGCTCATTAAAGAAGTTCATGGAAGAAGCGCTGAAAGTATGTACGCATTCTGATGGAACTATTTTGGACCTAAAACTGAATTTCTGGACGTATTTAGAGCTTTTTAAGAGTTCATTTCAAACTTGTTTAATTTAAGACTTTATAGGACTTTCTCAAACCCGTTATGTTTGAACAACTCTGACTGATTTTCACTAGTTCTGGTGAGCGTTTGGACGGAGCCTGTGTCTTCACCCATGGACAGCTGGGTCAGAGCCGCAGATGCGCTGATGGGCGACAGGAAGATGTTGGCTGTAGCTTCGCGGCTCGACAGAGCACGGAAAAGATTGTAGCCGAAGTCTGAGGTTGCGGCGCCCATCTTTGTTGTGGGTGTGGTGAAGAGCTCCACATGTTCTTCCTCCAGTCCAACTTCTTCCTCGCCTCCTGACTCCAACTGAAGCCAGCCCGAGAGAAAACAATCAGAACATCTGGAAAGTTCACTCAGAATCCAAAAGATATTTAAAAAAATGCTGAACCGTGTCGTTTCAGACCAACTCTGGTTTCAGCTTCAGTTTGTTTCTGGAGGAAAGTCTTCAGAAACCTTCGTTTGAACTCAGGGAATATAAAATCAATGTTTCACTCAAATATTTTAGTTCAACCAAAACTTTATCTTTGTTTTATGCTCTTCACAGAAAGATCAGACCACGACACATTTTAAAAATAAAATAAGACACTTTATAAAAGTACCTGTGTTGATCTGGACATGCAGAGCGGTCCAGTGGTCTGCTGTCCAAAGAGTCAACTCTGAAGCCCAATAAATACCACAGTACTTATATTTATACTTATATATTACTTATATTTAACATACTGTGGAAGTGTTGCTGTGATCAGTTGGAGGAGAAATGGACCAAATGAAGACAAAATGCAACTTTAATGGAGGGAATGGTCTTATTTCAATGAAGGATAGAAAAAAGTTTGTTTTATAGATGTTTGAGATAAGGTTGAGTTTTATGTTTGTAGAGGCCAAAGGCTGTGTAACGTTGTACAAACGAGGAGGACGGAGGCTGTGTAACATACAAACGAGGAGGCCGGAGGCTGTGTAACATACAAACGAGGAGGCCGGAGGCTGTGTAACGTTGTACAAACAACGAGGCCAGAGGCTGTGTAATGTACAAACGAGGAGGCCAGAGGCTGTGTAACGTTGTACAAACGAGGAGGCCGGAGGCTGTGTAACGTACAAACGAGGAGGCCAGAGGCTGTGTAACGTTGTACAAACGAGGAGGCCGGAGGCTGTGTAACGTACAAACAAGGAGGCCGGAGGCTGTGTAACGTACAAACAAGGAGGCCGGAGGCTGTGTAACGTTGTACAAACGAGGAGGCCGGAGGCTGTGTAACGTTGTACAAGTTGTATGTTGTACGACTAAACTAAGATGGAAGCGATTCGTGAGAATCACAGGCCACGTGCAGCTTCTGGGAATTGCCAGCATGTTGGAGACGATCTTTGAGGAGCCTCGTAGGCAGGGACCAGTGGGATGCCCACAAATCTGGCCAGTTTGGATCTTGAAAGTACCAACAGAACTCAAGGCTAACAAGAAAAAAACAGTCTGCCTGAAAAGATCAACAATTGTGGCTTATCTGAATGTGACTCGTTGGCCTCAAAAACAGGCCGACATCAAATTTCTCCTGAGACATTTGTAAACTAAGGAAAAGCTTTGTCCATCACGCACCCCCCCCCCCCCCCCCCCCCCCCCCAATAATTTCTGTGAAGGCTTATCAGTCAGAACTGTGCCAGCTGACCAACATCTTATCAGGACTATGGGCTATCTGGAAGTGCATCATGAACAAATCTCACCGTCTTGTTGTCAGATGCATGTAACGTGTTTTTAGATGTGCTGCTGGTGGAGTTTTTGACGTCTTAAATCGTGTCCTGATGAGGACAAGATGTGAAGAGATCTTTTTTTGTAATATCACTATCCTCTCCTCATGGTTTTCCTCTTTTCTATGTAAAAAAAAATAAAATAAATGAAAAAGGATAAGGGGCCGCGCTCCAGTAGCAGCAACAACAGCTGAATTGTTTCTATGGAAGGTGAAGCGTTACGCCGATGATTTCCTGCTGTTGCCGTCAGTTCCAACAAAGAAAGCCAGGATCTCAGAATCTCGGCGTCTTTAGGAGACTTCAAGATGACCACCTCAAACTTAAGGTCCGTCCATCACAAGATCTACATGAAAACCTGTTCTCAAAGCTGATGGGAAACAACGGAGCCTCAAAGAAAGACCAGTTCTTCCTCACTGACCATCATCAGTAGAACTGGGTCATTTCTGACCCAGTTTGACTCCACTGCCTGGATCAGGATTTAGACCCCTAATGATGCCTACAGAGAGACCTCTGGGTTTTGAGATGATATTTTGACAGGTTGGTGATGCTTCTGGACCTCTGGGCTCCTCTCAGGACCTTCTTCTAGTCCTCATCTGTGGTTCTAGGGTGATGTAACCAAGAACCAAAGTTCATCAGAGCAGGACATCCCTCACTACCTTCAGAGAACTCCTTGAACACCCTAAAACGCCAAGCTCACGCTGATTCTGGACTTCTGGACTGGTTTTACTGGGACTCTGTCTATCCGTTAGTGTTTCTATTGAGTTTGACCAGATCCAAAGATGAGAAGCAGACCAGATTGATGGGTTTTTATAGTCTTCATGCTTGAAGAGTTGGTGGGACATTAAACTGGTCCCATTATTTGTCCAGTAACAGAGGACAGATGATTCTGGAACTGAAACCAGAACAGAACCTTTGAACTGTTAAATAAATGAATGTGGTTGGAGATCAGGAGGGAACCAAACATCCTGAAGTGTTGAGGTTACCTGAGCCAGGCAGGAGTTCAGGACGACTGCAAACACTAGCAGGAACGTCGGTCGCTTCATCCTGAAACAAAGAAACACTGGAAAGATTCAGATCGTTCCGACAGACTTACAGAAACGAGTTTTCAGAGGATCCAGAAGATCTAAATGAGTTCTCTCTGCAGGGCAGCTGGACTCCCCTCAGAGACAGGGTGAGACGTTCAGTCCTCCAGGACAGACTCGGAGAATGTGTGACAAGACGGGTCCTTCAGCGCTCATGGACCGACGGCTTTAATGAAATGTTTTCATCAGAAAGTCTGAAAGTTGACGAGGCAGACGGAAACGTTCAGAGGTTTGTTAAATGAGAGATGGTGAAGACGGTCAGAACCACAGAATGTTCAGAAAACGAGCCAATCAGAACCGCCTGTAAATCCTGGCTGTCACGGGTCTCCTGCAGCCGAGTCCAAGTCTGGTTCCACTTAAAGCATCTCACAGAGACGCTTTGTTCTGCGCACATCTGGATCTGCTCCTGGATTTGAGAAAAACCTCAACCACACACAGACACACACCGAGACACACACACACAGAGACACACACACACAGAGACACACACACACAGAGACACACACACACACACAGACACACACAGAGACACACAGAGAGAGAGACACACACACAGATACACACACACACACACACAGATACACACACACAGATACACACACAGACACACACACAGAGACACACATTGATGGGAAACCCAGATGTTGGTCCAGCAGTTTTTCCGTCTCAAACTGACTCGGCTCCTGAACTCAGGAGAGAAAAACTCTTTCAGATTAAAAATCTTTAAATTTATAAAAGTTTTAAATCAAAGTAAACTTTAAAAGATGCTGATTGGTCAGAATTTTACACCCCTCAGTTCAGTCTCTCTCAAGTTCTGGAGGAGTTCTGTCCACTCAGAGACTGACAGGAGCCCGAACCATCAGCCTCCACCACCGTGCTGACAGCTGAGCTGTTAGCTGCAGTGCATTCTGGGTCAACATCTGTCCTATGCTCTGGTTCTGGTCCAGAAGTCTTCAGATGAAACGCTCCTCGTGCAGCCATTTTATTTTAGAGAGGATAGGTCATGACCTTTGACCATTGACCTGCTCACTGAAGCCTGTAGAGTCTGAGCAGTGCACGGTCTGACCTTCAGGTGAGGCAGCACCAGCAGGTTCTGGTTCTGGTTCTGGTTGGCAGAGTCGTCTGAAGTCTGGATGATAAAATTCAAACTAACTCTTTGATGAAACATTTTTATAATTAATTTATGAAAACATCCAGAACACCAGCTGGTCCAAACGGTTCCTGCAGAACAGCTGAGAGACTAAACTGATCCAGTGGAAAGTTCGGTTCGGTCAGCGGGAGGTAAAGAATCAAAGGTTCGGAGCCTGAAACCGGTTTAAGCTACAGTCTAATGAAGGTCCAGATCGGCTGAACCGTCACTCAGTTCTGTTCTAACAGCCTGAGGTGTCTGTCCGGCTCCACATTCAGAACCTCTGACGGTACCGGTGTGGACCGGGCTCATCCGAACCGCAGAAACACTTTAACAGCTTCAGGTTTGAGGTCAGAAGTTTCATTCGGAACCAGCACCCACCTCTCTGATCCGGACGGGTCCACGTCTCTCCTGCTGTCTGCTGAGGAGGACTCTCCAACACCCGAACCCCCCACCCCGCACCGCGCGCACACGGAGCGCGGGCGCGCGCCTCCTCCTTCTGTCAGAGTTTTATGCGCAAATAAAAAGATCAGAGACATGATCCTCCATCTCTGTCAGAGATGGGGGCTGCAGGGCGGCGGGCGACAGGCATTGTTGTTGGTTGCATCATTTGTTTCGCAACATGAAGAATCTCCCACAGAAGCTTCAAATAATTACAGCCTTTATATAAGATCGTGTCTGCGTCTGCAGGAAGACCTGCAGCTCAGAAAAAACATTAAGTGTCTGCAAGATGAAGGAAAAACACAAAGTTCAGTTAAAGGTTTGAGACGAGCGAACATTCAGACGTTTTCTCTTGTTGTTGGCATCGGTCTGTTTGTTTTTGTTTGTTTCATCGTTTCTTGTTGATTGTTGGGTTTTTCTCTCCTGTTTTCTTTGTGTTGTTCTTTCAATTTTCAACTGATTCTTCACTATGATGGACCAAAACGACACTCTCATTACTGAGGAGGAGGCCCAGGTTTGGCTCCTCCTCCACTTCTCCACATGAGCCTTCTCCAGGTCCACAAAGCACGCAGACCAGCGAAGCCAACTCCCATGATCCTCTTAGCAACTTCGCAAGGGTAAAGACCTGGTCTACTGGTCCAGGACTAGGACTGAAGACGCACTGATCCTCCTGACTCCGAGGTTCGACCATCGGTCTGCGCCTCCTGTCCAACACGTTGGAGTAAACTTTCCCTAGGAGGGTGAGAAGTGTGATCCCACGATAGCTGGTCCTCCTTTTTAAAACCGGGGACCACCGACCACTCCACAGGCATTGTTCCTGTCCTCCATGAGACACTGGAGACACGTGTCCATCATGAGCTTTTTGTTGTGGTTTAATAGAGCTTTAGTTTTTAGTTCTAGTTCCTCATGTCGTCGGCAGCGTTACATACGGTGGCCGACAGGTGCAAACACGCAGCAAACTTTAACACTTGCTCTTGTCAAAGGTGGACGTCTCCTCCTCTCCCTCTCCACTTTGCTCTGTCTGTGAAACTGCTTTAGAGCCTCTCTTCTACAAATCTTCTGAATCATAACTGTGGACTTGGATTTGGTCAGTTGGTCCCTCAACACAATTCTTTGAAGAGAAGACAGGCTTTAGGCGAGATGATTTGCCCTGTTGGCACACAGCTGGATATCTCATCGACTTGGAAGACTTGATGACGTGTCTGTCTCTGCTGTCATTTGTGGATTTTAAGGACGCATTTATAATCGGATTTATGATAACTGGTTCCTGCTTTTTGGAGTTGGCTGGTTCCTGGTTTATCTACCATCAAGGAAGTCGTTGGCAGCAAATTTGGACCCGAGCATGCTGCTTGCCTTATGATGGCTTGGTTCATGCATCGAGTACCCAGACTCATATAGTTTTTGGCAGAATGGATCAGATCTCAGGGATTATTCTTAGGCACGGTCCTTTGGTGTGACCAGGTAATTTGGACATTTTGGAACCAAGTGTACCAACGGACTCAAGGTAGATGTCATTAAAGTTCTGTCTGTCCCCAAAACAATCGTGTTTATCTGAATTTGGCTCCCTGACTGGCCTTGACAGGCCATCTTATCGTAATTTGCCTGGAAGTTTTGGAAACCTGATGCTCTGCGTCCCCCACCCCCCACCCCCACCCCCACCCCACCACCACCACCACCACCCCCCGCCCCCTCCTACCGGGAAATTCCATGAACTTTTCAGAGGAGCCCAGCTGAATAAACATTCGTCATCATTTCAGGACTCTGGATTCGTCTCTGGTCGTCCTCGGCACCCCCCGAGTGTGTCATTATGTGCTAGTGTGAGAGATTTTTTTTCATTATCACGCTGTTGACCTTCAACCAGAGGTTAAAAGCGTGTTAGGAATTTTTTTTTGTCTCCAAACCCTATGTGGCATTTTTCACCACTTTCTATTGTCTGTCCAAACAGGTCTCACTTGTTTATGAGTCTTTGAAGCTCAATGTGACTTATCTGTTTAAATAAAGGTTGAATGAATGAAAAAAAAAAAAAAACGGTCAAACACAGTCTTTTACATTATTATAGAATAGCAGCATAGTTATGTAGGTAATGTAATGAGACTCAAGTGTCACAGTTTACACTCTGTTTCCTTTTCTCATCACTCTGTTCACTGGTTGACTTTCTTCTCTGCTCTCCTGGGTTTTTCCTCTGCTGCTTCTACCAGCCTCTTTACATGCCACGCCTCTCTCTCTGATTGCTGCTGATGGTTTCCTCCTGTTTCTGGGTGTATATATACTTTCTGCTTTTTCTACTACATTGCCAGATCAATTGCTTGCTTCCAGCCACAGTTATCCAGCATACTCTCCTTGTTCACAGCTCTTTAGTCTTGTTGGAATGTTTTGGAAAACAGGATCTCCACTTATTTTTTACATAGCCTAACCTCTGATTTAATAATTTACACACCTCAAACCGTGACGTTTCAATGAACAGAAACTTCAGTCTGGAGCTGTGACTGTATCACATCATAGTTTTAGAGAAAAAAGCTCATGCCCGTTTTATAAAAATTAGCGTATTTCCAAAGATACTTGTTTTATCGAACATCTGGTTCAAGTTCAAACAAAGTCTGTGCAGGGACACAAACGACTCTGTAGAAAGTGTTAATGTTGAGTCTTAAACAGATTTTTATTCACTAAAAAAGTCCTGAAAAGAAGCAAATCAGAAATTTTTTACCTCTTATTGAATCAAAAGAGACAAAACAAGTGATGTTAAAGGAAATGTGTAGTCCGGTCTTAATGTAGCGTCGTTGCTAACTGGTTGTTTGGCTGTTTCTACCTGAAAGATGGAATCTGTGTCAGGACTGTAGCTTGTTTCCTGATTCTTTAAGATGGTCTCAGACTGGGACAGGGTTGTCCCACAGAGGAGGGTTCATCTTCTCATGTCTGTTTCTCATGGTCGCCCTCTGTTCCAGCAAGCTGCTGCAGTGGCACCTTCTCACCACCGGGGGCGCTGCAGGACATCACACCGCTCCCCTCTGCTGACAGCTTGTTGCTGAGTTCAGCACTCACGTCTCTGTTCCTGTTGGCCTCATCAGTAGGCTGATCATTCATTGTGCTGTTTCCGTGGGGGTCGTCGTTGAGCATAGGGTTGTTGTTGGGGGCGGGGTTTGTGACCACACCCATGAAGAGGGGCACCAGAGACGTGTCGTCAATGAGGGCAAAGACAAATGGGGAGTTGACAGAGAAGTGGGACATGGATCGCGTGATTGTCACAACCGTGGTGGCAGACGCTTCAACACCTTCTTCGCTGAGTTCCACGGTGGTGGCGTGACGGACGCTCGACACCCGGAGGGGCTCGTCTGAGATTCCAGAGAGGTCGGGACCAGAAAACAGAGAGCCGAGTCCTACCAGAGACATTAAAGACAGAAAAGGGTCATCAATTATTACCATATAAACTGTTGATTCTTCACGCACTTCCATGTCCGCTCTGACATCTGGACAGAGAAAATTAAATGTTCTCATCAAAAACTTTCAGGTCCTTAAAGATAGAGATCTGGTGACCTGTACATCTGTCCCTGAGACCTGATCCTGACTAGTCCCTTTTCATTCAATACTAAACTTGTTTCTGACCAGACTGAGGCTGTTGGTCAACATTCATTCAACCTTTATTTAGGTAAATCCCATTGAGCCTGGAGGACTCATTTACAAGAAAGACCTGATTTCAACAAAGATTGATGACAACAATGGACAACAGCTACAATAATAGACAGTTATAAAAAGTCATACTGATTTTTTTTTACAAATAGGATGGCTAAAAAAAAAAAAGTAACAAAAAAACAGCTAGATTCTAAGGCAAATGTAGAAAACTAAAAACAGGAACATGTCTGCATTGGTCCCTGCCAGGAGTCCAACAGATTCTTAAAGCCACTTAAAGAGGTCAAAGGTCAAGAGCTTCAGATCTTTTTACAAGATATTCCAAGAAACAGGAGCGGATTAGGAGAAGGTCCTTTTGTCTAGTTCAGTCCTCACTGAGGGAACACTGCAGGTAATAATGTCCTGAGAGCGCACGCTGTAGCTGCACTCACACAGAGACATGTAGGAGGAGATGTATGAAGGCAGCAGACCAGGAAGTGATTTAAAGATGAAGATGTACCAGTGAGAGAGTCTGCGTGAAGTTAATGATGTCCAGTTAACCAGTGAATACTGGGTGCAGTGGTGGGTAGGATAATCACAGCCAGTTATGAATCTTAGTGCACCATGATAGACAGCATCCAACATCTGCAGGGTTCTTATAGGAGTGTTCGTGTAGGGAGGTGCTTCAGACATGTCAGACTGGGAGGAGACCCTGGGAAAGACCCAGGACACGCTGGAGAGTCTACGTCTCTTGGTTGGCCTGGGAATGCCTTGGGGTCCTCGCAGAAGAACTGGAAGAGGTGGCAGGGGAAAGAGATGTCTGGACCTCCCTGCTCAAGCTGCTGCCCCTGAGACCTGACTTCAGAACAAGAGGAAGATAATAAGTGGAGGGATGGATGGATGGATGGATGGATGGATGGATGGATGGACGGACGGACGGACGGACGGACGGACAGACGGACAGCTGCATGCTTCTCTCATCACTATTTTCATTAACAACCAACCTGTCTGCAACAGTCCTGTGATTACCACCTGAAGTTCAGTCATTGTGAGGCGTGGCTGAAGCTACATATGCCTAAACTAGTCCAACAATCAATGCCGGGTTGGTGTTGCTGCTCAGGAGCTCCATGTGGAAGATCAGATATGAAGGACGAAGACCTGACCACCCAAAGAAAAGAAGACCAACCCTCCCAGGATGAACTGCTGAATCAGGACATGTTATTAAGAAGGTGAAAGATGGGTTGGGGCGGTGTTAGACCACCAAGGCTGCTCAACTAGCTGTTAAAGAGTTTCTTCGCTCACCCATCTTTGTCAGTGCCTCCTCCAGCTCCTGGCGGAATTCGAGCTTCACTTTGGGTAAACTGACCATCGTTGCTTTTTCCTGAGGTAGACGTCTGTAGAGGTTCGATATGTTCAGTTTGGGAAGTACCGAGGACACGTTTCCTCTGGGTAGGACCACCAAGAAACTGGTGTTACCTTTGAAGGGGAAACTGGCCACCTGGACGAGAAAGAAAACTTACAGAAGACACAATGAACGTGCTGACAGAATGGGCAGTGGAAGTCAATGAGAGTTTAGGTGTGCACTCTTTTGTGTGTGTGTGGAGGGGGGGGGGGGGGGGGGGACGACT